GTTGGAACCGACCAAACTGAAGGCTTTTAGATGCAATAGAAGTATTGCGAAACCAAGTGATGATCTGATAGTTTTTACTATCCCAATCTTCCAATCTAGAAACTTAATTTAGTTTCCAAAATCATATGTTTTGTCCAAGATGGACCATAGACCAATCTCTGGCATAGAAATTCACTGGAGGACCAGTAATGATGCGCCAAAGTTTCTTTCCTTTGAGAAAGCCAGACATAGCTTGTGCCCATAGGACATAATTAGTCCCGTCAAGAATAGCGGAAATAGGGTGGGTAGTGGAGTCTAGGCGATCCATGAGAGAAAAATAGCACAAATGAGGTAGAATCTGAAAAAACTGAGGTTACCAGTGAATTCAGAAGGTCGAAATTAGTCAGCAAAGGAGTGAACTGACCAAAAATATGACCATAAAGGCAGAAAATGGATTAGTCAACGAAGCTGGTCAAACAGGATGATGCAGGGCTGACGTCACAGGCGCGGAGCACGTTAGCAGAGAGTGGCGCGGCGCACGTTAGCAGAGAGAGACACACGGCGCACGGAAGCAGCTAGGGCTGACGTCGGCTGACGTCAGAAACACGTGGCTCACGTTAGCAGATGGTGCCGGGGGCGTACAATAGCACCGGACAGTGTAGGAAGCGCGTAGAGCGCGTCTGAACCGAGTGAGCGCGTGGCCGAATGTTCTGGCGGCGCGTGGAGGCACGTGCGGCTGTAAATGATGATGAATCTGGTGGCGTTGGCTTCGTCGTGAAGAGACGAAGGTGGTGGTATGGTCCAATCTGTGTATTATGTAAGGACGAGGTACGCAGCAATCTGTCAAGAACAAAATATGTGATGCAGAGACTTAGGAAAAACACCTGTGCTCTGATACCATGAAAGAGAAATTGAGAGAGTTGAGAGAGTAATATTGAAAGAGAATTCTGTTATATTAACTCTATATCAGAAACAAAATAGAGACTCCATAATATAGGAGCTCGGATACAAAACATCATGATGATGTAATTTAATAAAATAAGAAAAAGGACGCCGAAAGATGGTGGGTGACCGAAAGCAACCGAAAACTATCTTTCTATATTATATAATGCTATAAGTGGTAACATATTATATTAACAACTATCTATACATACTATCATATATAGTATTTAACAATTATATTCATATACTATCATATATAGTATGATATGCATATGTTAACAATTTTTTTTGTAATTATAAAATTCATATGATAAGGTGTGTACAATAATCTTTTCCCATTGCATGAGCCCGCCCGACGTTTATCAACTCCCATTTTCAACAATTTTGCATATCAAAGTCTCTATCGTGAATCGTCAGACGCGCGCGCGCGCGCTCGCACACATATATATATATATAGAGAGAGAGAGAGAGAGAGAGAGAGAGAGAGAGAGATCACATGGTTCTTTTGGTGCTTACTTATTGCTCACCCACCAATTGGCCCTTTGATGTTTTGGCAGAGTTTGGTCCTTTCATTCTTTCTTTTTTTATTGATTCCCCAAACCGTCCTTTTGTTTCTACTCGCACACCCTCAACTATAATAATATTATTATATAAAATATTGTTCATTATTATTGGCAAATATTAATCAGTATTCTATGGACATTGGCCCCGTTTGGTAGAGTTGTACGAAAGTGATTATATATTATAACTTAACAGATTATAGCTTATAGCTGTGAACATAAGCTGATTTTTTACTTATAAATTAAGCTTCTCCTCCCCCACTTAAAGAATAAGTTGATTTTTCACTTACAAAAAATTATAATTTGTATTGTTAAGCTGAACCAAACACATCAAAATAGCTTAAATTAAGCTAAAAGCTGAAATAAGCTGGAAATAAGTCCTACCAAACAGGGTCATAGTTTAATAGCATTTTTGAGATTTGTTTAAAATACAGATTGTCTTTTATAATTTGAAAAATTATAAATATCTCCTTATCATAGTTTTTTATTTAACAGAATTAACTAAAAAAATAAATTCATAATTACTCTCCTATACAATAATAAAATTACTTAAATTATTAGTTGAAACATATTTTTAACATTATTAAAAACTGTTAATTGACTTGATAATTTATTAATAAAAGGGACTATTTGTTATGAAATTAAAAATCTCAGGGGGTGGAATGTAATTTTCAAAATTACATGGGGCAATTCGTATTTTAATTAAATCTCAGGGGTGTATTTATAATTTATTCAAATATTAAAGTATCTTTAAAATATATAAAAATATTAAAAATATATATTAATTTCAATAAAAATACATTAAATTTAGTAAAAAAAAATGCATTATGTCTTTCAATTTTTTTTATTTTTTACTTGTACCCTAAGAGCACTTGTTAACAAGACTTTTCATTATTATCAGATAAATTTTATAAGTTTAATAATCTTACATTTATTGTATTTTATTTATTAGTTGGCATAGCAGATTTGTACAATGAATTTAGGCACTGTAGGGTTCACTATGAGTCTCATTTCAATAATTCGAACCATTCAATATATAGAACTCGTCAAGTGCTATATCTCTATAAAAAATCACGTTGATCAGATATCGATAGCTACGTGATCAAATTAGTTTTGTATAAAAAAAATGGACAGTGAAAAAATAAACGGTTGATAGAAAAATAATTCGATGAGATAGCTATCGATATTCGATTAACGTGATTTTTTACATGCATATAGTACTTAACGAGTTTTACATATGGAACTGTTCGAATTATCAAAACGAAATCAGTAGTGAGCCCCTACGGGTCCAACAACACTCTCCAGTCCGATTTGGAACTGGAGGAAAGCCAAGCCCATCAATTTAACATGAGTTTCTCTTATATTTAGGCCTTATTTGTTCTAATTTAAAAAAATTAAAAAGTCAAAAAATCACTATCATATTTAATAATAAGACATGTAAATGAAATTTCACTTTTATTCTTGGTGATTTTCATGTTATTTGAGAATAAATATATATTAGGATTTATGAATTAAAGCGGACTGCGGAATCTGTTAATAGTGTAAATGAAAAACTAAAATGTTTTTGTATATAATTTTTTGTATGAAATCTATTAATATTTTGTATGAAAAAATAAAAAATAAAAAAAGCAAATCAAAAGATATTTTCGTTTGCATTAACCTCCCATGCCTTATTTCTTGTGCAATTTATCTATCGACGTTTGAAAATGATTTTACATTTGTTAGTCCAGACGAAATGTGTGAGAATACATTTTAATTCACAAATTATAAAAAAAAAAAAAAATTGTGTAATTATTTTTAAATAATAATGCCATAATTTGTATATGAATCAAATCGCAAGAAATAAAATAAAATATACACTAATTATTTTTTATGACCAAATATCGAGATCAATTTACACGTAATTTGACTAATTATTTTGGAAAGTGGGTTAAAAATCAATTCTCAATTTTTAACCCACTTCCCTCTTTTATAAAAAAAATCAAAAAAATTCAAAAAATAATTTTTAATCATCTTTTCAAAATACTCTAAGTAATAAATCTTTCAATCAAATTTCTTGACTCTATCATAAGATATAAAATAATCCAATTCAATGGTGTTAAGGCAACTTGATGGCTCGTTGCATTGCTCAAATGAAAAATGTTTAGAACTCTCAAAAGAAGATTCCCATGACCCTTATTGATGTATTAGTTATTGATGTGTTTAAAAAAATTTTGAGAATTGTGTCTGACAGTAACATGAATAGTTCAGATCATTTTGGAGTTGTGTTTTGTGGAGTCTCTATCATTATTGTTGCTCAAATAGCGATTAATTTTGAAAAACTAAGGATTTAGATGGAGGAAGTTCCTTCCTTGGTAGTGTAGTCTTGTGTGCTTTGGGTATTTTGGAATGATGATTAAAAGTTAATTTTTTTTAATTTTTTTTAAAAAATATGTAAAAAAATGTGAGAGGTGATGTGATCCAAAATTGGTTAAAAGTTGACTTTTAACTTTTTTTTTGTTATTCCCAAATTGGCCCTTTGAGTAAGGGTGTGCACAATGCGGTTTGGCACGGTTTAAAAGTGAAATTATAAATTGAATGACGGATTAACGGATTGGCAAATTCTGGTTTGAGCAATTTTAGGTGGATTGACAGATTAAAAAATATTCTAACTAATTATTAAGACTTTGTATAATATAAAACACTAATTTACATAATATTTTTTATATATAAAACACAAACTAATTTTATATAATATTTTTTTATATATATAACTACTAATGTGTAACAAATTTCACATATTAAATTTTTTTTGCACTCATTTTTACTTTGATATTTCATTATAGGTTAAAAAATATATATGTATTAACTATAGCGGAACGGAGTAGTTTTGAAGGTGGTTTATAAATTTTAAAATTTAAACCGCGAATAGCACATAGAACGGTGCGGATTGATACGAATCGATGCGGTTTTAATAGATTGGGCAGTATTTTGCACAACTCTAGCTTTGAGACCTTGAGTTTTCCGATTGAATAATATCTTTTGTTTTGGCTTTTATCAATTAAAAAAAAAACTCTATTTTGTAAATTATTTCTAAAAAGCATTAATTCTTCTGTTCCAAAATAATTGTTCCTTTTGGAAAATTTAACTTTTTTTGATAGTATAATTAGTATATTTTAAAAATATTAATTTTTTAAAATTATCCTTTAATAGTACATTTTTTTGAAATATCAATTGTCATAATTATACTTTTTTGTGTTATTAATGAATTTAAAAGAAGGATAAAATAGTAAATTCATATTATTTTATTTCTTAATTATTGAAAAATGACTAATATTTTAAAAAAATAAAAAATGAAATAAGAGACTATTATTTTGAAACAGATGGAACATTAATTTAATGATCAATTTATTATATATTTTTTTAAGTAAATAAACGATATATTTTTATAAAAAAAATACTTATTATTTATTTATTTGAAAACAAAAATAGTCATATCATACGACTATATATGTACATACACATGCATATTAGTTGGAGCCGGAAAGAGTCCACCAAACAAACACACCCATTAAGCCCACCGCTCTTATCGTCTCCCCTCTCTCTCTACACTCGAAACACAGAGAGAGAGAGAGAGACGATCAGAGCTCGACCTTTTAGGTGAACTGTTTTGTTGTTGGGGAGGTGAAGAGCCGAGAATGGTGGGTATCTTCTCTAGATTTTCTGTCAACAGAAATATTCACCGACGAACCCAAAGTGCAATTGTAAGCATCTTTCTTTATCCCTCTTGATTCTACTTGGGTTTGTGTTTCTTCAACTGATTGCTCTGTTTTCTGATCTGCACTTTCTTTTTTCATTTATTTTTTCCTCAATTGAGAGCTATATCTATGTATATATATATATATATATATGTGGTTGTGAGGTAATTTGTTGATTTTAATTCAATCCATTATAGGAAATTGTATTAATTTTGGATTTAGATGCTGGTCAAGACTTGCCTTGACCTTTTCATTGGCCAAACCAATGTTTATATGAGTTGTTTTGGATTTAATTTTCAAAGCCAAGTCGTTCTTTGAAGTCTGTGTTTCGTGTTTTTGAAAACATGTTATTTTGAAACAGATTTCTCAAATGGGATTTGCTTTGAATTCAATTTTCAAACCTAAGTTGTTCTTTGAAGTCTGTTTGTCTTGAAAAAACGAATTCAGTCTTGAAATTGACTTCAATAAACAATCTGAGTAATGAAAATAACTCGTTTGTACAGACCAATAGATCAACAGAGTATTAAAGAATTTTCCTTTTTGAAAATGGGTTTGATTTGGTCTTATAAAATAGTGAGAATTTTTTCACAGATGTTGAGTTCAGTAATAACTTAATTATCTACTTGGTGTATCTTAAATGATGTTGGTTGTTAGATTCTTGTTTGCCTCACTTTAAATGCATAGATGATTTTGTACTTACTGTGTTCTAGATAATTGGAGAGCTATTGGAAAGTTGCACAACCTATTGACCTTTTGCTAAGGAATACTGAACGGGGTGCAGTGCTTGTTGCCTTATTGATACCTTGCTCATATGAATTTTTATCCAAATTGTGTCTGAAGCTGTTCTATTGCAGTGTTTTGCATCTGGTTTCATGAACTCACTCCTACATTATATTATATATATATATATATAGAGAGAGAGAGAGAGAGAGAGAGAGAGGTGGGTATTAGTCTTTTTTAAGTAAATGACAATTTTATTGAAAGACAGAGAGCAAATGACCAATAGTATATTTTTCTGATAGTTCAGGAATAGCCATTAGACAGTCCAACACGGCACGTTATTTTCTTAGAAGTATCCGTGCTTCTTAGATATAGAGAACAAATCAGCCTTCTTCCATATGAAAATAGATTGTCTGTCCAGCTTTGAATTTTTTAAAGGATTTTTCTTCTTCAATTGCTTACAATAGTGTGATCTTAATCTATTTGATATTCAGAGGGTATTAGTTGTTGTATCTTCTGATGTTCACAAATTGAGATGCTTAATTTTGCGTGCAGGATGAGAGGGAAGTTTTGCCCTCTAATTCAGAGGTTCCAGGTGCAGCTACAGTTATTACTGGTGCTGCAGTAACTGCTGCTCATGGGATTGAAGTTGCAGTTGAGTTTAAACCCCTTGAACACCCAACTGAGCCTCTTGACAATGATCGACCGATTCTGTGCCCACTGCCTGAACCTTCTATTCTTAATGTAAGCTTGAGATTTGCTCTTGTTTCTAAATTTTTATTTTTTATTTTTTATGTTTGTATATATGCTTCTTCATGGGTGTTTGTGCTGTAGATGAGCATGTCATGGAACACATAGAACACATGTTAGTCACCTGTATTGTTTGCTTTTATCGTTTTGTTTTGGCCTTCGCTTTTGGAGCTATTAATTATATACACAGCTGTAGGATTCTCCTAGGCTGCTAAATTCAAAATTATAAAGTCATTGGAGGGTACTTATGGGCCTCATGTTGTAACTTAGGTGAGTGAATCTACGGTTCAAATTTTTGTATAACTATATAATTCTCCATTTATTATTACAAGGTTAAGTAAAAATTGGGAAAACTTGGCTGTTTTATTGATGTGCATCTATTGCTAGTGAGGCAGATTTGTGATTTAGTTATCAATTTGTCAGCAATGTTATTGCAATTAAGACTTACTGCAATTAGGACAATGGTAGGCGGTGACTTGAACCATCAGTTATGACACAGAGTTCAACTTTCTTTGTGAACCTTGTATCAAATTTAACTTCTAACAACTTAATACTCCTATAGTTCACTTGGTCACCAAATTTGTATTACTATTGTTTTAGAATATTATTGTATTTAAATTTGTTTTTTTTATTTTTAATATTTAACATGCCGAATCGTTAAATATTTAACAATCTTGAAGGTGATAGAAGAAAAAATGTCCATGTGAATCCTCCTCAGATAAAACCTACTGTGGTTGAAATCCTATTGTTAATTTCCTCAAATGTCAGGACGGACGAATATGGAAGGAGCGAGTATCTGCAGGAACAGGGGTGCGGAGGAGGGCCGATTTGCCAGTTTTGCAGGAGGGGACCCCCATGGAATCTGAGTCTGTGGGACCCAAACCACGGCGCCCATCTAACCGCATGATTCTACCATCTATCAGTGCTCCTGAACATAACATCCTTCAACTGCTTGAAGAATGTAATGCATCTGGCATCTAAAGTCACATGTTGCCAGTTCATAATTGGAAGTTTTTGCTATCATAATTGTTGTATAAAGTTCACAATCTTTTTTATCTTTTTAATTTCTTTTTTCTTCCAGTTTCTCTTTTCATCTGTCTTCAACCAGTTGCTTGAGAATATGTATTTCCAAATGGAATTTTTTTGAAATCACACAATATGTATGTATACATTTGACAGATGATTGAAATATGAATTAGCTGGTACAGTGCAATGTTGTCAAGTTTGTTTTTGAAGTTAATAAATGTTACTGTTAGGAGAATTTTCTAATTCTCACCAAAGACTTTGACCATGTATAACATTCTATTCTCCCTTTCCCATAGAGAAAGAAGAGCATGACAGATCTTTATTCAAACTGGCAGTGCTGCTTTCAAAGGCTATTTTAATCCATGGACAGTGGATGTCACCACTCTTAGGCTGTATTTGGATCTTGGATTAATGTTATCAACGAACATGTCTCAGCTACTTCAGTTTTCCAATCGGAGGCTTTAGCTGTGCACAAAGCTTGTTTGATGGCTAACCAAGTGGCTAATACTTCTTCTGGAGTTTTCCTCTCTCACTCCTAAGCTCAAGGGTTATTGGATTGGTTTTGTAGGCAGGTCAACAAGTTTTAAACTGCAAGTCAACTAATCCAATCCGCTCAACTTGCTTGCGTCTTCTCAAACTGCTCAGATTGGTTTGAATTGGCACGGAATGATGAGAGGATGATTTTTATGCACACCCCTAAATGTAAGCAGGGTCAGGGTATGTTAATGGACCCTAAATGAACCATTTTGTATAACATCCTCCCTTAATTTTTATTCATTTGCACAAAACACATGTTCAACTTACCTGTACACACACATATGTATTTTCTTTGTTACAACTATTTTTGTTTCACAAAATCATGAAAATAGCTAGGAACCAAAACAAATATTGCAACTTGCTTTCAAAGCATACTCGTAAACAAGCACAAGAATACATGAATATGCAAAAAGTAGTATTAAACCGACAGTTCACGAACTTGGAAAGGATGCTGATCAACTGTCGGATTAACAAGGTGTTTCCGAGGCCCTCTAAAGCTTCCATGATTCATCCATAGCTTCCTCTGCCCCATCTGGCTCGATTCTTGGCCTTGCCTTTCTTCATGAGCTCCAGCAGCAGCAGCAGCAGCAGATGAGAGGAGCAATACTGAAGAGAGGAACATGTAGAGCAAGAGAGCAAAGATCTTCAACTGTGCCATTTGTGATTTTGTTGTCTTGAGCTTTTTGTGTTGGAGTTTGGGTTAATATAAAGAGACTTTTAGAGGCTATAACTTGTTTACTTTACTTAGGTTTGAAAGTAGATAGAAGTCACATGGAAATGATTAGCTCCCACTCCGTGTATTGATTGCTAGAGCTGTGTGATGGGTTCATTTGGGTTGGTTTTTGTTGGTGGGGTCGGTTTTTTTTAAGTCTGTTATTATCATGATTTTGATGGAGGACTAACACGTCATTGAAATGAAGATATTAATTCTATAGAGAGTCGTTTAATTATTTACAAGAGTGACCTACTTTAAGGGTGAATTATCTATGATAGCCAATGATATCACTCCCATAAGCTTTGTATTACTTCAAATTTCCAATCATACTTTCCCACCATACAGATGAGACTGACCAACCCATTATTCATTGAATTAGGATCACCATGTCAACTTTGATCTCGACTATTTAGAGTTGGTTACATACAAAAAGTAGGATTTGAGTCGTAACAATGTCGAACTCTGAAGTTTCATTATTTTTGCAACCAACTATAAATGATTTAGAAACAAGATTGACGTGATGGTCTAGAAATCACCAAATAATTACGAGGGTTTGGAAGATTTTTGCCCATACAACCTCTTTCTAAGCTCAAATTAAGATTGCCTCTTCATACAAGTTAAAGGGACATGTAGGGATAAGGGCTATACATATCTCAGGAGTTAAAATTTTGAGAGAGATTGTTAGGGTGGGCTTACACTAAAATATCAGGCCAAGTTCTCTTGGAGCTTTACCTCTTGCTTGTGATTTGTGGGTAGTTATTAGGCATACCTACGAATAATTCTTCAAATCAAAAAGCCTGAGTGGCAAAGTGTTGAACCATGGGATAAATTGTAAATCTAAACATTTTGAGCTCGATTTCTACTAATGTCTTCTGGGCTTAATCGATATCTGTAATTTGCAAGTGATTGCAAGCATTCAGAATTTACTCTGTGGGAGTGGGTCCACTGATAATTGATTTTTGTCTTTCTTTTTATTTTTATTTTTAAAAAAAAGAAATAATTTGCCTTTGGTCCATTTCTTGCAAAGTCATGGAATCTAGCTTTAGTTTGACAAAATCATTTTTTACCCATCTCTTCTTTTCCCTTCTGCACTTGCCACGCCAGCCACTGCTACCACCACTAGCCCTTCCCACCATTGCCACCGCTTTCAATACATCAAGTCATTTTCTTATTTTTGATGATACATCCTCTTAAACATATAGGTTTCTTTAACCTTCATTGTTGTTAAAAATCTTCAATCTACTTTGACATAATTTAGCAATAAGATTTGGTAATAAAGTTGTTGACTTTTTAAAAACTTTGTCATTGCAAGAATAGTTGTGACCCGTTTGATTTCGTCAAAAAGTCAAAAGATTATTTTGATCTAATACCCATTACTCATATGGTCATCTCTGTCAAAGCTTTCCTAATACAAATCATTTTTAGACATTCCAGTTTGGCTTCTTTGAACATCTTAGAATATGACTTCTTTGGGACTAATGGACGAGTCTTTATGAAGTTCTCTAGGTCTAAAAATAGTTCATGCCCACCCAATTCCAACACAAACCGTGATCATGAATTATTAATTAACTTGTGTATAGATATACATATATATAAACCTACACAAACACATAGAAATGGTATTCTTTGCAGACAATGAACTTGTTTGGTGTAATGCTTTGCTAGTTAAAAATTGATGCTAAAACGCATAAGCTAAAAAAATATATCTCCCCTATCTTCCTAATAATCAAAATTTTTGCTTATCAAAGCTATTTTTACCTAAGCAAAAGTTGCAACAAACATGATCAACGTCCGCGGATCCAGTGTTTGTGGCGGCTGAAGTGTTTGGCAATGACCACCTCTTGACAGAAATTTTGCTGCATTTGCCTGCAAAGCCTCTGTTAAGATTCAAATCGGTTTCCAAACGATGGCACTCTCTCATCTCTGATCCTCATTTTCTGTTTGAAGTGAGAATCCAAATCCAGCTTCGACATTTTCTTGGCCTCAAACTGTGAATCCCACAACCTGAGTTTCGAATTCATCTCTCTCCATGACCATGACAAAATACCAGAAAAGGTAGCTGAGGCACCTTCAATGTCTCTCAATTTTGTTGACGATCCTTTATGCATACAAATTTTACAGTCTTGCAATGACCTATTTCTCTGCTCGGGCTCTCAAGATGAGTATGTTCATGACTCTACTAGATATCACCGAAGTGATGACACATATTATCCCATTAACTACTATATATATAATCCTACAACAAAGCATTACAAGATACTTCCCTCTCCTCTGGACTTTGTCGATAGCCTAGTTTACGGCGATTATTTAGCTTTCGATCGTTTGAAACCACCTCACTACAAAGTTATTCGCTTACACAGGTTTTTACCATATTTTTATCAATTCGAAGTCTATTTGTTGCAAACCGGCACGCGGAGGATCACCGACATTTGTTTCAAACGCATGATGTCTTTTGGGAAGGGGCAATACATTGGTTTTGTTACCATTCGGAGACTTCATTGTGTTTTAGGGGTGGTTTGGGATATTCTAAATAAGTTATTTTTTTTTATTTTTTTAAAAAATATATATATATATATATATAAAAGTAGAGAAAGTGATTAGAAAAGTAGATATGAGATATTGATAGATGTTAATTAATGTGACCCAAATAAATATATATATGTAAAAAAATACATTTTTTTAGTACATGCCACACACCTACTTAATGTCAATCAAAAGCAACTTGAAGGAATACCAATGCCTCGGATTAAAAAGGGCAAGGATCATTGGAATTTTAGATATTTTGAGGAGTCATGAGACCATTTGTATTTAATCACTCTAGCTGCTTTTGCAAATTGCAATTTGATGTGCTCAAAAATGGAAATGGACTACTCAAGGTGGGTGGTGAAGCATTGTCAGCGGTCCCACAAATGTGTCACTATGAGCCTACTAAACTTAATTATTGCTCGTATGAGTACTTGAGAGGGTAATTTATATGGTTAAATTGGGCCGAGCTGGGCAATGGGCCGTTAATGGGCCAAAATAAGAAAGACAGAGTGAAGGGGCCTTTGGAGTTAGTCCGATCCCAAAGCCCGGAAGTTAGATCGGTCCGAGGGAGGCTTAATGATTAGTCCGGTCACAGAAGGCCTTATTTTTAGTCCGGTCTAGAAGAGTACTGCAGATGTTTCGGTCGCCAGAGTTAGCCCGGTCATGGCATATGGACCCGAGGTATGCTGAGCCCTCTTCAGGACTTGGTTTTAGGTTAGTTCAGCTTAACTCTTCTACGAATAGCTCGGTCTTGGCACGTGAAGCCGAGGTAGGAGAAAGGTGAGGAAGAGCCGAATTAACAGTTACATCGGTCATTCCAGCTAGTCTAGCATGGCAGTGTTATTTCGGTCGTATGGTAATCCGGCCGTGGTAAAACGATCTCACTTGGTTTAAGCAGTGAGGGGGGTGTTGAAAAATAAGCATTATCTTTCAGGAGTATGAATCCTAGGAGGACTCTATATGGAAAAGTAAGAATCCTACTAGGATTGTGCCACGCGGAACTTATAAAAGCTCGCAACATCACCTATGGAGAGGTAACACAACTTTGATTCCCGAATACACAGAGCTTTTTGTCTATTTGTCTATTTTGCTGACTTAGGCATCGGAGAGGTATCCGGCACACACCCGCCGGCTAGCTCACGTTTGTATTTTCAGGGAGTAAAGCGACGGCGTACGGAGGAGTGCAATCTTGATTAACAGGATTATACGAGGACAATATTTCGTGCTCGTACAATTGGCGCCGTCTGTGGGAATCTGCAGAACAAACAAAACCTCTTGATCAAGTTCTCCTTAAAAGCAATGGCGCACATTGAAGATTTGCCGCAATCCGCCATCGACGGGCAAACACCAGAGGGGGGAACAAGGCGTAAAGGTCTACCTTCTATCCCTCCCATGGCGGACTTAGAGCCCCAAAGACA